TACCCTACTGATGGCAAGTCGTTGCGATAGTAATACCGTTTAATCCTACAATAACCACGGTGTCGGATATTTGGTTCATGCACTCGGTCGAACGGCCGGTGGTGCGAAGCTATCATCCGCCGGGAGTAACTCTGATCGCCACTAAGGGTGAAACCCATCTAGTCGAATTCGGCAAGGATATTATCATGGAGCCCCGAGAGTCGAGAGGCTCCAAACAATGTGATTATTATAGTCGCGCTTCAGCACTTGAGGTGCGGCGTCAAAGCCCATTTAGGTCGCGGAGATCGATGCTGTTCGGATAATTCGTGCATCATGGCTCCGAAGGCCCGAATGTAGCTCAGTTCGATGTCGGGGCTCGGAATAGTCTGTAGACGACTTCCGTTCCTGGCGGGGTGTTGTATTCGGCAGAGTAGCGTTGCTACAATCCGTTGAGACTCGGCCCTTAGCTAGGTGATTCGTTTTGAAAATATTTAATACACGAACTCAATATTTAATGCCTTCTATAGAATATCATTAATGGTAACAAGTTTTTTTCCACATTGTCCATTTGATGTGATGATTTTTTATGAGGCTATTGAATGTATTTATTCAAAATTGACACTGGACATTAAAGTTAAAAAATCGCATAAAGTTTAATACACGAACAGAATACTTGAATTTCTATTGGTTAGCGTAGTAAATATCGGCTTTTTGAAACAATCGAGTCTCCAAATTTTTTTTTATTTAATAAAGTTAAGTATATTTTAAAAGAATTTTGTTGATATTTTTCAGATGGCGTATATACTATTCCCATGAAAAGCAATATAAGATTTAGATCATATTCTGTTCGTGTATTAAAATTTACAAACTAAAAAATATAAGGTAAGCCTTAATAGACAGGCGGGGTTGCGGGGTAAGCGCAATGAGGCACCGCGACCTCGGCCCAGAGCAGGAGTAGGAACAGGGGGGTTTTTAGTCAGTAAGAGTCTGACACTCCCTCCCACCCGGCCCTTGGCGGGAGAAGTCATTTGATGATTTCCCCTCACAAAAAAAGCCTTAATAGAAACAAAACTTCTTTCGTAAAATCATACTTAAAGACTAAAGAAACAATTAATTGGAATGAAACGTATATTTGCAGCTCACATTAGTCCCAAGCCATTCAGGAAAGCCTAGAATGATGATTATTACTATAATCCATCCAGCCGGTTCCTTTGTTGTGGTATACAGGTACGCTGTGCGAACCTTAAATGTCCCTAAACGGCAATTAAGGACAAAATTACATTTTCTCTTAAAGATATTATGAAGCAAATAAATAAGACCTCAACTTCAACCTTTATGCTTTTATAAGGATGTAGAGGAAACATAAGGGATCGATTTTTGACCGAACAATGAAGTCGTTTATACAGCCCTGGGTTTTTATGACTGCGCACGATCAAAAGTTTATAAATGACGGTTGGTGTGGACTAGGTTTATAATATTTTGATGTTCAGCGTGAAAAACTATTTTTTTTGACGTTATTTTACTAGGTATAGTTAAAAAATATGGTCTCTCAGCTAGTAATGCACGCTTCATGTTTTATTTTTTGTGTTGTTTATTATGGTATCGGGGACAGATCGCCTGATGGTAAGCAATTGGCATGGCCCCGTGGCATGGCCCATGTACTCTCGCAATGCCAGAGGAGTTGGATTTGAGGATTGGGGGATTGTACTATTAGCAGCTTTACTCACAAGGCTAACACATGCATGCGTTAAAGAATAATATCAACCCAAAATAAAACGACTGAAGTTTGCGTATTTACAGTTTAATAGCCATAAAATCAACCTTAACTTTAAAATTACAAAGTCGCAATTACATTACAGTGGTAACACTGAGTCTAATTCCATTTATAATGTATAGCTTCATTGCTTATTAAAGAGACATTTCAAAAAGAATTCACAAGTTTTTCGTAATAATTCTATTTCTTTTTCGGCTTTTGATTCTTTTATCTATTCCTATTTCCTGTAATGTACTGAACTGAATGCATGAACGGTCACAACTAAACGTGTGTAGAAAAAATATAGTTTATTAAATCAACACTTAATATATATGTAATTTAGTCTTTTTAAATCTGAATTAAGAAAAGAAGGTTGAAAATCAGCGTGAAACAACGCTTCCGCTGTGGTTAACCGTTGTACGTGGTCGAAAGCCTAATATTTCTGCCAATTCCCAAAATTGAGCACTGATTGCTTTACATCTGACTGATGATAGCTCATTTGCCGACTTATAAATCTCATTAAAACAATACAATTTTCTTTTTCCATTTTCTCAGATTTTCCTTTTAGATTATTTGCCTACTATACCCTATATACTATGCCGACTACTTCGTTATTGGCGGAATGGGTTTTTATTTACAATATTTTTTATAGTGTAATTTCACCTAACCATAAGCTCTACATAAAAATTGCAAACAAATTTATAGTAGTCTTCACATCCAGACTTGTTTTAATGTTTTTTTATTTACATGCCACCACATAAATACTATAGCAAATCAAGATAGCAATCTAGTAAAACAGGAATACAGAGGCATTACCGAAATTACGAACCCTTTGTATGCATACAAAGGTCTTATATGAAGACCGTTTATCGTGAAAAAAATGGTAAAGAATGTCATTGTATTTAATGTAGAGGCCTAGAGGGCCCGATTCAGTCCTTTAGAGTACAATGCCTTCTGTTTCCCTCAGTACGTAGTCCAGTTCTCATTTGGTATTCCTTATAACAAAAGTGCGATGTATTATTATGAGTAAGTATTATACTGAGTAAAATAAAATAAAAAAAATAGCCGTGTCTATGTGTAGTAATGTAGATATTTTTAGTAGAAAATCAATTAATTAAGAAGAATTAAGAAAAATACTATAGTTATTTCGTTAACGTATGTTTAAATAAAAATCAGGGCCACAAAAGATTATTTTTTATAATATTTCAAAAATATTTATTTATTTAATTAAATTTTTACAATTTGTAATTAACTTTAATAAAGCTAGTTAGTTATAACCAATAGCAGATGAAACAAACACAAAGTGTTGTGCGACAAAGTCGTCCAGTACAGCTAGTTTATAGACACACACACAAACACACAATAATTAAACAGCTACCACATTTGCCAGCGGCACATAATTATGAGAACACCCTGTAAATGAGAGGTTCTTGCGGTTATACACTTACATGTTTTTGATATTTTAATAATTCTTTGAGGTTATTGTCCCTTAGGAATTGTATGAACTTTTGTAATATTAAAAATTTTGCCCTTTCATAAAAGCAGTCGGCGAGTAAGGGCAGCTCGCCGCCCGACCAGAACCAGGCCCGAGCGTACGGCGCGTAGCGTTCCGCGCGTGGATCAAAGAGCTAATAGACCACCACAGACGGGGCCCAATAGAGCTGATGATCAGCTGGGGTTGCGGGATAAGCGCAATGAGGCACCGCGACCTCGGCCCAGAGCAGGAGAAGGAACAGGGGGTTTTTAGCCAGTAAGAGTCTGACACTCCCTACCGCCCGGCCCTGGGCGGGAGAAGTCATTTGATGATTTTCCCCTCACAAAAAAAACCCTTTCATAAAAATATTTTTAGTTAGTAGTCTGATGGTAACAAATAATTGCAGAAAGTGGTTATAGTGCCGGAACGAGAACAATGTGCTTGCACGGCAAATTTTGTATACCAAAATTTGTTTTAAAAGCATGGGAGCGGAATTTTTAGCCTTCCCTCTTCAAAGGTAAATCAATAAGCTGATTTACATGAATGTAAATGTAACGATACATTGATCTAAGGATTAAGTTAACGAAATTAGATTCGTTTGTGTAATTCAATCGACTCAACAGGCAAACCGGATAAATAAAAAATAAACGAAATTGGGTAGGTCCACATAGAATGTTCTCGGAAATGAACGAATGATCGACGTCGACGTCAAAAACTTACCTGACCTTAGTAATTAGTAATTTCCCGAAATTAATTTGATCTTAGCAGTTTAAAGGGCTCGTTTGTAACATTATGAGTTGACTTTTTGATAATTTTTACCTATTTCTGATTTTTGCCTGAATGCTTTACGTCAGCTGTTACCTGAGAACACTTCATTTAAAATATATATATGAGGAGATTTACAATAGTAGAGGAATTCCACTAATACGGAATTACGCATTAAATATGTATATTGAATTAGATTGTTACATAGTTTTAAATCAATTCTACTTTGTATTCTGAATTAAATAAAAATTATGGAACAACCTACTAATAGATGCTCATTGAATATCGTTGAATGCTGATTTTAATTCAACTGACTTATTGAAATACTGAAATAACCAAGTAATACAGACCTATTTATCAATTGTTTTTGCTGAAATGTTTCTTATCTTTACTATCTTTACTTGAAATTAAGAATTTATTCACAACCCATGTCAGCACATTTTATAAAATAATTTGTGCAGGGAAATTCTATTTAACTCCAAATAAATATCTGTAGATACTTTTCAGAATCCTGACGTTCTTCAATCAAATATTTGGAACTTTACTGAAGAATTTGAATGAAACATTGTAAAAGCCGCGGTCAATTTTGCTCCGAAATATTATATTTTACAAGAAAAAATCTTTTCGCGCTCTTGTCTATAAGACCTATCGCTTTAAAATTTGAAGTCTCCCGAGCCGATGTTATTTGACTTTTAAATTGAAATGCTATCTCCTTTCGAATCGGCTTTCGTCTTATATCTACGATCTAACATTCTCCAGCCTTCGAACGCTGGCTTATTATATAGTACTTTTAAGGTTTTACCATTTTCAGAAGTTAATTCCTTTGAATAAGTTGACGTTGATAACCTTCTCCAGCCATGATTACCGTGATTACACATTTTTTTTTTACTTAATACATCCAAACGTTTTATATTTTGGTAATAAAACGATCTCTTGTCTCTTTCTTCTTAGACACGTGAAAAGCAAGCGGCACATGTTTATCATCTTATCGATCAAAGAGAATAACAGTCGTTCTTTATTTGTCCCTAGCTGGATTTGAAGAAACAATTTGATGAAGGGGATACCACGAACTACCAGACGAACGGAGAATTTGACCTGGTTAGCTTCGAGGCTATCCGACATGACCAATACTACTCCTGCTGCGTGGAGCCTTACCCAGACATCACATACATCATCAAGTTGAGAAGAAGACCCATGTTCTACGTCTTCAACCTTATTCTTCCCTGTCTCCTTATTAATGGAATCGGTAAGTAGATTAGTAAATCTAGCCGCCTCATTACCTTCAACCCCAATTTCCCCCCCAATCCTAGAATCCACTTAAACAAACTTAAAAGCCGGCAACGTTCTTGTTGGGGGCAACTCCATTAGTGTTGCGTGTGTGTCCATGGGTTGTTTAGATTGCTTTGTCTTCATCAGGTAATCTGCTTGTTTGTTTGCATTTCATCACATACCATAAAAACTCGATACTTTAGATATGTTTTGTCATACCAGTTAGGTCTTTTCTTTTAGGTGTGTTCAAGAGAGCTATCAGAGTGAATCAATTTAAAGGCTTTTTTTAGCAGACGTTTTAATGCCTCATTATTTTCAAATATTACTTGGTTAAAACATGCGTTATATTTTTATCTCCCCTCATCTAAGTTTTCAAGCTCACATTTGACTTAAAATAAATCCACTGTAGTAAGGTTATATTTCCCTTACTTCTAGCCACATTTGTACTGCTAATTCTGAGGTTGAACTTTGAATTGTATTCGGAATAACAAACACATTACGGATACTGTACGGTAAACAATTAGGGAACGTCGGCTCTAATTAGAAAACATTAGCTAGTGTTAATTAGCCCAGTAAATAAATACGTAGCAGAAATGTGTCGAACATTATTTTCTGGTGTAATTCCTACCATTGGGTTTCATGATAATATATTCTGTTGTATGTGCAATTAGAGTTATTTTAACAAATAGTTATCAACAATACTTCGACTGTAATTCAAGATCTGACTTTGATAATTATGTAAAAGGTTTATTCTAAATATAGCGTATCATAAATAGCTCATACAATTATGGCTTTTGAAAGTTTAACGAGGCCTAAATTACTTGGGGAATATAAAAATACGGGCTTTCCTTTGTACGTTCAAGCTTGCGGTCTTAGGCTACTAACATCGTTTTATACAATAGGCTGTAGGGTTTATGTGGATCTCCTTTGTATAATATTTAGGTAATAGGCAACCATCAGTGATTGTTGAGCAATTCGAGGAAATATTAGACAAATCATTATTTTGTTTTGTTATTAAGGCATGTATGTACGAACATAAATTATCGAAATGCGTCGAGTGATACAGGGATTTGGAGTGGTATTTGTGAATAATCAGAGCGACGCGACGTTCGAGTAGAATAACACAATAAACAAACACAAAGACTTACTTATCCTCATGATGATAGCATTTACTCATGTTGTATTTCACGCCTTTTGTTATGGTAATTGGATAAATTACTTCATACATAGCTTATATTATTTACGAAGATTCATAAACATTACCCATTATAAGCCTATGAGTGTTCACTGCTGAGCAAAGGCTTCTTTTCTTATGGTGAACGTTTAAGCAAATGATCAACATGCTTTCCCAAGGCCGATGGGTATTTTCAGACGGAGTTCAGACTTCCTTACGATGTTCAAAATACCTTATAGGAGTGATGTCTAAATAAACTTAGAAAGAACACATAATTCGTAAACAGACATATTGGTATTTACCAGTTTAGAAACCCGCAGCCTCCTCGGCAGGCCACCACGATGCCTGCATGAATTGTTAAATATTCTCATCAGTAGACGAGAAAGAAATACATAGACGTGTGGGAATTTCATATTGAGAAAAAGTTATAAAGTGTCTGTTAAGGAAATGCTCCTGCTGAAGCTAAGATTGAAAGATTTTATCCCATTCTTAGAAGAGCATATAAAACTTAGTTTCATAAAAGATTCAACTTGATACGCTTCAGTATCAGTAGTATGCAGTGAAGCTATGACTCTCCGCTTTGAAGAAAATTCATCTTGTAGTTTTTATGTAGAACATTAATAAACATCCATACTTTCATACTTTGCGTTTATAATATTAGTAGAATATGATGCTGTACTGTTCGTTTTTTATGTAATATGTCCGTAAACAAGCAGGCGGATTACCTGATGGTAAGCAATCAGCGCCGCCCATGGACAGCAACAGAAGAGTAACGAGTGCGTTGCCGACCTTCTGGGGATTTGGAGGTTAAGGGATTGGGGGAGGGGAAGGATTGGGCCTCTGGTAACCTCACTCACACGGCGAAATACAACGCAGTGGTTGTTTCTCGCTGGTATTCTGTGAGACCGTGGTATCACTCCGGTCGAGCCGACCCATTCGTGACGAACCATGGTTCTCCCACACTGAAATTATTATTTTAACGCTTGTTGTCAAACCAAGTACCAAGTTCGTGATTGTTTTGGAATATTAAAATAGCATTTTTATTTTTGTTTCAGCACTTCTAGTGTTCTACGTGCCGTCGGAATCAGGTGAAAAGGTGACGCTGGGTATAAGTGCACTCCTGTCTATGACCGTCTTCTTGATGACTATAAGAGACACATTGCCGCCTACAGAGAAAACCCCACTAATTAGTAAGTTTTTTTCGTAAATAATTACAATTTTTAGTCCTTCGTAGTCGTGGTTGTCGTATTGAGGTTGCAGGGTCAGTTACAGGTCTGCTAATTTTTTTTTGCTTTAAATACTTTCTTGATTTATGCCTGGAAATGGAAATAACTTACCCTTCTATTATGTATAAAGAATGCATACATGATTCGTGATAAGTAAGTTCGGGTCACACCCTATAGTTATTTTTATTTGCTCCCTGTTTTATTTATTTAATGTAATTTCAAGGGACTGCATCGTTGATTGAAAAGATGATTACACCTTTAGAGAACAGAGAGTACAGTCTCCTAACATAAAAATCTTCTGACAAAGCGCGGTGATAGTGCCTGACGGGCTACTACTGCCTAACATTTGTATGTTGGATTTTTTTATACATGGTAATCTGTATTTACTTCGCGAAGTTGGATTTGTAATGTCATCAAATGATTTATTATTGTCCTCTTATCTTCTATATGATTAAGTACAATCATTGATGATTATTATAGACGAAGAGAGAAGATATTTTGATTATACCAAATCTCTTTATGCAATTGTCTTCTGCCCAGTATGGAAGCATAGACGGAAAATTCAATACTGGCAACTTTTCCCAACTGAAAATTAAAAATTAAAGTTATATTATATTATTTATTCATTTATTCATATTTCTATTGAGCAGGTAAGTTGGACAAGGTTACAAATACTTCACAACGGCTCATAAACCCTCGTCAAAATGACAGAACATTCGTTTGATGTGTTTTGCTCTGATATTTGTTTGAAATAGATGTGTAGATTAAGTAGCTGTTACACCAGCTTTATATAAATTGTTGATAAACTTATGTGGTTCCATAGTTTAAAGCAATTAAGCATGTTCTGTTTTCTTAACATCACACATCATCTACCTATAAGTGCCCAATGCTGAGCAAAGGCCTCTTCTAGAGAAGGTTTGGCGATTTCAGACTTACATTCAGTCAACAAAGTATAGGGAATGAATGTTTTTTTTATGGTTCCAAATTCGAATTTAATTTTTTTTTGTTGTTGTTAGATTGGCATAACTGTTTTCCATTTTGGCGCGGAATTTGAGTTGCATCTGTTATTTATATTAAAAACAGTGCTGTTTTTAGTGTTATAATATCTAGTGTGTATTGCGAATTTGATAATGGACAAAAACATCGAACAAAGAGTTTGTCTTAAATTTTGCATCGCCAATGAAATTTCGTATTCGGAGGCACTCAAAATGTTACAGAAGGCTTACGGTGAATCGACTTTATCAAAAACAAGTGCTTATGAGTGGTACAAAGCGTTCAAAAGCGGTCGAGATGTGATGGAAGATTTGCCTCGTTCTGGTAGGCCATCAACGTCTGCAACTGAAGTTAACATCGGAAAAGTGAATGAAATAGTGACTGAAAATCCTCATTCAAGTTTGAGAGAGATGGCCGCCGAACTTTCTGCATCTCACGAGTCGATCCGTACCATTTTAACAAATAATTTGGGTAGGAAACGTGTTGCCGCTCGGCTAGTCCCAAAAGACCTGAATTTTCTTCAAAAACTAAATCGCATGAAAGTCGCTGAGGACATGCTAGAACGAGTCAATACCGACCCAACATTCATGAAACGCATTGTTACTGGTGACGAGACGTGGGTTTACGAGTTTGACATGCAAACTAGTCAACAAGCTTCGGAATGGCGCCTTCCAACTGAACCAAAACCGAAAAAACCACGTCAAAGTCGATCAAAAATCAAAGTCATGTTGACTGTTTTCTTTGACTATCGCGGTGTTGTGCACTCAGAATTCTTGCCCAAAGGTCAAACGGTAAATAAAGAATATTATTTGAGCGTTATGCGGCGTTTAAGAGAACAAATTCGACGAAAAAGGCCAGAAATGTGGAAAGAAAATTCTTGGATTTTGCATCACGATAATGCGCCTTCGCACAAGGCCATCGTTGTAAACGATTTTTTGTCCAAACACTCAACAAACACCATCGAGCAGCCACCATATTCACCAGATATGGCTCCAGCCGACTTCTTTCTTTTTCCCACACTCAAATTACTCCTTCGTGGCACCCATTTTCAATCGTTAGAAGACATACAGGAGAATTCGCGGCGAGCACTGAACTCAATTCCGGAAACAGCGTTTAAAAAAAGTTTCGATGATTGGATTATTCGTTGGCGTAAGTGTATCGTTTCTGAAGGAGCATACTTTGAAGGTGATAAAATAAATTTAGATGAATAACAAACATTTTGTGTATTACTGACTTTTTCCCGGTACTTTCTTGACAGAGTAGTATAATTAGAAGTTGTAAGTTTCGTTTCCTCCTGGTATTTTCCTTCACTTCATGTCAGTTGTGTTTAAATGTAAAAGAAAGTGCATAAACCTCGGAAGTACTCGGAATAAGTCACATTGGTACTTGCCAGTTTTCGAACCCTCATGCATGAGATGTGGTTTTCGTACATAGCGGATATTCAGACACATTGTGATTTAGGCCCTTTGTAGTGTAGAGTATACATATTATGTCTACCTGGATTTTTTAATATTTATAGATTTTTGTAAACAGTTATAACTATCATTTTATTCTTAAATCGCCAAACAAGTCCATTTGATGGTGAGAGGCGCTCTCTTTAATTATAAAAATTTGTAATTACATTATAACTTTGTGTATATTGAATTTCTGAATAACAATTGATTTTGTTACAGGTTTGTATTATGGAGTTAGTACGTGTTTAGTGTCATTCTCGGCTTCCCTATCAGTCGTCACGCTCAATATATCCTACAGGCGAGTTTTACTTAAAAAAATACTATAATATTTGTAATATACAGTATTTTTTATAATAACTGTCGTGGTTATTATACTAAATTTAATAGAAAATAAGGATTCACTTACGTGATTTAACTGAACTCTACTAGTTTCAAGTCGCAGCGGGACTCTTAATAATGGTGGAGTGCATGCGTCACAGAGACGTCGCGCATCCAACTAATAGTAGGTTTTCTTACGTGAGGAAGTCGTATTCATTTTCAATAAATTTATTAGGGTAGTGTATAGAAAAACCAATTTGTACGAACTGTTAAATGATAGTTGAATAATTATGTTTCCGATTTCTTTTTAACTGTTCAACGATTGTAGCTACAACCTTTGCACAGTTAACAGATACCTTTTAAGAGGCTCTCAAGAAAAACAATCAAAATATTTGGATATTCCAAAATGTTACTTATTCTGTATTCATTCATTTTCAATTATACATTTCAAATTTGTGGTAAGCATATAAACTGAAAGCGAATACAACATATTAACTGACCACGTAAATACTCCACTTCAATATAATTATAAGCAATCAAATTAATTTAATTGTACGAATGACACAAGGCAAAATTAGTTCAATTTTGAACGAACGCAATATCAATAAATTTATTATCAAAAAATTGCGCTTTTGAACGTGTGCAAGAATGTACGAATTGAATTAATTGAAGTCGTTCTGATCATCAAATTAGATATGTAAATACCGGTGATTGCTGAAAAAATTAAAAGTATTAAATTGGGGATTGAATTCATTTAATTTTATCGTGTCAATAAGTATTAAAAAATTGAAGACTTAATTGGTGAATTAAATCAAACAAACTGATTCAAACTCTGTTAATATATGTTTTTTAAACTTAGTGTTTTACTCGTGGTCGATACATTATTTATTATTATCAGTACTATTTGATGCTCATTTCACAATGGAGAAGGAAGGAAGGAAAAGTACTATACAAAGCGTTTATTAACATTAATAAACATGCCGTCTAAGCCATTGAGCCAGTTTTTGTATTTCGAATTGAAGATAGATTTTAGACATTAAGATTCAAAACACAAAGCCTGACTCAATGGTTTAAACCTAGACTAAAATCTTGTATTGTAAGATAAATTTTATTCACACTATGACTTTTCAAAGTTATAGCGAACTTTTTAGCTTAACTAATGATACGGCCGAACTATAGGTCAACCCGCGACTGTTATTAACTGTGCAGGTTTGTGAAACCAGAGAACGAATCCAAGCAGCTGGTGTTGCGATTGTTTACTGCAACTTGTTTTATGTTTGAAATAAAACTTTATTACTTTTTTTATGAAATGATCAAAAAAAACAGGCGTAATGAAGTTTTCATGAAATGAAAAAAAACACGCGTAATGAAGTTTTGCTTGTTTTTTTTTTCATTTCATGAAAAAAACACGCGTAAAACTGTAGTGTGGCCTTGTCTTTAGTATGAAGTTTTGTTTTGCATTAATATTAATATTGTAATATGTGTTGTGTGAATGTATGGTGTTGCTCATAGAGGAGTGAGAGGGCAGCCGGTGCCGGCGGTGCTCCGCGAGCTGGTGCTGCAGCGGCTCGCGCGCCTGCTCTTCATCAACCTTGACACTGACGGTGCAAAGGTAATTATTAATTGCATATTAATACTCTTAGTACGTGTACTCTTTATCTCGTGGTGACAGTAGCCAAAATGCAAAGCTATGTCACTAAAATTTAAGTACCCTGATGGTCAAATGCCATCAGTCAGTCAATTCCGCCTCTGACAAATAACAATTGGGTATTCCGCGAAATGTAAATTTTACTAAGCCTTTTTTATATTGTTCAATTTGATATCCAGTGTACGATTTTGGTATAACATGACGCTTTTCACTTTAGAAACTTTACATAATTGTTTTAACAAATGTTACATATTTGAGTAGACCTATAATAAAACAAGTAAGCAAATTAAAATAATTTCGTTGGCTATCCTATATAGAACTTGCTAGAAGTTAAAAACGATCTCTGATAAACTCTTGAAACTGATTCCTCACCCGTCTGACAATCGTCGCGATTATAGCAAACTCTTATTATTGGTTATCATAGTGATTCAAGTGACAAATTTTCAAACTCAGACTTATATTACGGTAGCTTTTTAATTAGCAACATGAGCTGCATTTCAAAGCTGTCAATTTCAGCCACTACTTAAATGGTTTACATATGAACAGCGCTGACCGACCGCAGCCATTATGCGGTGATTGGCAACTAATTTGATGGACGCGTCTTGTTTACGAACTGAACACACACTGGTGTCCCTAATTTGAGTCAGTACTTAAGTGTTAAAGCTTTGATGAAGTGTATTTTTAGCAAGATATTTTTATGTTGTGTCATATTTTAAGACAGATGTGGCCACTTCTCGCTAGTCTGAATAATCTGACTTGACAACTTGTAGGACGCTATGGACGAAGCGACAAATTAAATAGCAACAATTTGTGGATCACACAAAGAGTTTTTCCGTGCCCGAAGAATCGAAATTCGGGAATCGAACCCGCGACACGACATGGCAGCCAGTTGCCCAGCCACCGCACCAACCGTGCAGTTTTCATGAAATAAGAATAAAATAGAAGAACTCTTCCATTGTTTTACAACATCCGCACTCCGATTCTTGCTTCAAAACCAAATTTAGAACATAGTTACCTAATACAGACATATTATTATGATATAAATTTGATTAATTTCTGTCCCAGTGACATAAACGAGGCTGCAAGTTCATATCGACATGCTAATTCCGAGTGTCTGAACTCAACGCTTGGATCAAAACGTTATGTTGAATGATGGTTGTTTATTGTTCTGACAGATTTATTGCTACAGCTATATTATAACTATCATTTCCAATCTCAATATTTCGTATGTAGGTATATTTAATTAACGTTAGAATGTGCTGGAGCGTTAGCTACTGAAAATTTATAAAAAACATTAAAATAACTACTGACAAGCGTAGGTATCTTAATTTTTAACCTGTGCGACGTCCACGACGTTTGATGCCTATGTCGCTACAAAAAATTAATATGTCAATCTTGATAATCACTTTATTTATTCATTTAACACTTTATGTATAACATACAAAGGTGGACTTCATGCCTTGCCTACTAACATCAGTAGGTACCATAGGGAAAAATCTCTCGTCATTCATTCACTCACAAAACTAGGACCGTATATTTTTCCATTCAGCTACTGATGTATGAGACAAACAAGCCGAAAATAGTTCCCCAGTCACTGCCACGTTGATTTATTGTTTGTAAATATCAAATGCTTGTAAATGTCCCTGGAGTCGCCAGGTTTACTTTCACAGTTGAAACCGATGGTATTCAATTCCGTTGTGACAGAGCGTTCAGTTCCATTTCAAATGAAAAAGGTATTCACAGGTATTCCTTAGACACACTTGTAAAGACACAGGTAAAACATTTGCGAAGTTATGAAGCACTTGAGTATTTAGATCTAAGGAAACTAATAAGGAATATAGATGTTAGTGTTTTGTCTGTTATGCGATAGGCTGGCAAACGAGCATACGGATGACCAGATGGCAAACAATTCGCGTCGCCCGGACACCCGGAACAGCAAAAGAGCTACAAATGCGTTGCCGGCCTTTTTAGGGTTGTTAGGAATTTGAGGATCGGTGAGTGGGTATGGGTGGGGGGAGGTGATTGGGACCCACAAAGTGACACAAACGTTGTATCAGGCCAGTGTGCCTCCTATCAGTCAGTATCTGTCAGGTCGTGGTATCACTCCGGTCGATCCTGCTCATTCGTGCCGAAGCATCTAATCTATCACATGTTCTATCTCACACTAAAATCATCATTCATTTCATGGATGCTTATATAGTCATTAAATGCTTCATGCTGTACAAGCATCATGCATCTTTACTACTTATATTTATATTCTCTTGAAACACGCAAATCCACATTGTAAAGCAAGTCGCCTAATAAATTGATTTCCCAACAACCTGGTAGTTATTTTGAACTCATAATTAAAGTTCTGTTGGGTCAATATTCGAAGCTGGAAATTCATTGAATATTATACTGAATTAATTAATATTATCACTCAGTGCCAGGATTATGTCAGCATTGATTATATTATTATGCATAGTTTCGAGCTAATGTTTGTTGATATAATAGTTTTAATTGAAATTTTAGTTGAACTACGTGTATATAACATCACGACACGAGGTTGTTTGGTATTTGTGATGTTACTAGGTAGTGTGAATATCTATAATGTTCTCAATAATAATAATGGACAAAAAGCTTCATTTTTCTCCCTTTATACATTAATGTTATTTTCCATGGACTCGTAGACCATGCCCTTATCATACAAGTTATTTAATTATTATTATTTTTTTTATAGCCTATCGTGTGTCCCACTGCTGGGCAAAGGCCTCCCCTTTTTCCTTCCAAATTTCTCTGTCTAGAGCGATCTCCGGCCAAGTTTGCCCCGCGTACATGATCAGATCGTCACACCACCTTCGCCGTGGTCGACCTCGACGGCGTCGACCTCCTTCTGGTGTCCAGTGAGTGACAATCTTCGCCCATCTGTCCGAGTGCATTCGTGCGACGTGGCCAGCCCACTCCCACTTCAGCCTGGCTGTTTTTTCTCCGACATCTGCTATTTGAGTTATGGAGCGCAGCGTGGTGTTTCTAACGCGATCTAATCGCTTAACACCTAAAATGCTGCGCTCCATTGCCCTTTGACAAATCTTGAGTTTGGACTTTTGCTGTTCAGTAAGTGACCAACTTTGAGCACCGTAGGTTAGGACGGGCAGGATACACATGTCGATGAGTTTTCGTTTCAGTGTCATTGGAAGGCTACCCTTTAAGTGATCTTTAAAGGCCCAGAAGGTCTTCCAAGCATTTTGGATTCGCCTTTCGACCTCCTTATCTTGCCTATTTTTAAAGGATATTATCTGGCCCAAGTACGTATACTCATCGACATATTGCAACACTTGCCCGTCTACCTCGACCCTACGTTTCGTGCTGTTGGTCATGATCTGGGTTTTCGATCTGTTCATTTTAAGCCCAACCTCAACACTTGCCGTACTCAGATCTTTTAGCATTTCTTCAAGATCTTTAGATGATGTGGAGAACAATACAATATCATCAGCAAAGCGGAGGTTCGTTAGCTGCTGGTCACCAACAGTTATACCCCGTGATTGCCATGAATTAGGCAAGCTGTTAAAAACCTCCTGATTACATTTATTTTTTAGGTATTATATTATTTATAATTGATCAATAACAACTATAAAAGTACTACATATAAGTGTGGGAGAGCTATGCTTCGGTTTGGTACGAATGGGTCGGCTCCACCGGAGTGATACCATATCACTCCGGTGGAGCCGGAGCCCTACAAAAAACCGGCGTGTGAGTTACTTTCCCAATCCTTCCCCCTCCAATTCTGAATCCTTAAATCCCTAATGACCCACAAGAGGTCGGCAATGGCATCGCACTTGAGGTAACTCTTTTGGTATTACCATTTACTTTTGGTATTAGTGTTCAATGTCCAACGGCGGTGCTTGTTGTTTACCATCAGGTAAATAGTATGCTCGTTTGCCGACCGATATAAAAAAATATCACATAAATACAAGCTCTTGTAAAGCGTTATGTTATGTACTACAGCATAAAACCAACTTTGAATTTATGATGAAAAGTGCCAATTGTTTCCACAGACAATACTCTGCGCCATACATTTTGATTGAATAGTCATCGGCCGTTTATTTTTCTTCGCTCAAAACCTCTTTTTAATTGAAACGATTTTTCACTTGATTATTCAAGCTTTTTCGCTAATATTTTTGCCCAAACTACAATAAAAGGTAGAGAATGATCCATAAAATTCAAAGTAAGAATTGTTATTAACAATCGCTTATATCATATGTAGATAGTTTTCATATATAAATATAGACAAATTAAGAAAGTAAAAACATTTTTAAAACTATCTGAAGAACTTTTTTTAATATTTTTACTTTTTGTTATTTTTTTATTAATGAAAATATTTGTATCTGTTTTCTCAATCGACTAAAGTCTCTAACTTCATACAGATTTAAATAGGGAGGAAAGTCTGGGAAAAAGTTCCTGAGATCTTGAGTACCTACCTAGGTGTATCTAAAACATTTATCTAGTAACAACTGAATAAAATGTTTGTCATAAAATTTATAGCACGTTCCTACTGGAAGGCAGTGAACTCTCTACCTGGTTGCGTACAGTCAACCACAAAAATAAGCGGACGTTTTTCTCAGCCGTTGTTTTTTAGCGATCAATTAACTTAGATAGATAACTAAATAAGGACGGTACTTGACTCGATCAATAATAAATTACTTGGACTTTTCAGGGCAATACTACAAACTGATTATTTTATAAACATTATACTTTGTATGTGTAGGTAAATAATATCGATGTTCTGTTCTGTTTTTCTTAAGCAAAAATACTGAACTATAAATCATTCAATGAAAAATACTCTATAGTTAAAAAGTTTCCATGGCTACATTTGTAAGACATATCCTACTCCTTTATATTTATCTGTAGTTGACCCTACATATACATGTTTCGTACACTAATCCCCCACGGCGCGCCTTAGGCGTCGAATTCCTTAGAGGCTACTGACTGTACCCACCATGTATCACCTTTGTAAAATGCTGTCATGGGACTGAGATGTCGAGTAAAAATAATATTTTTATCTCAACAATTGTCCTTTGAGGAATAGCGTAGCACTTTGCGTATTTTTGGTTGTGTTATCTCCCCTTGAATGTTATTTACTGCCGTTATTTTTTTGGGAAACATATGGCTTTCTATATACAGTAAAGGTTTTTTACCTTCTACCTTATATGTACAACGTATGCTGGGACAACGATCTTTGTTTGAAAGCTATTAAGGAAGACTTTTACATAGTAACAAGAAATCTAACAGAAAAAAATATTCATAGTTAATCATCTCATTTAGAATATTTATAGCTATATATATTTTTTTATTTTTATGTAATATGTCAGCAAACGAGCGGGCGGATTACCTGATGGTAAGCAATCACCGCCGCCCATGGACACTCGCAACGGAGGAGTTATGAGTGCGTTGCCGACCTTTTATGGATTAGGGATTTGGAGATTTAGGGATTGAGGAGGGATTGGGGGAGGGGAAGAATTGGGCCTCCGGTAACCTCACTCACACGGCGAAACACAACGCTATGGTTATTTCACGCCGGTTTTCTGTGAGGCCGTGGTATCACTTCGGTCGAGCCGACCCATTCGTGCCGAAGCATGGCTCTCCCACACTTAAATAGTAATATATTTTAAATCCCATAGTAAAAAAGCACGAATAGATTAACAAGTTAATTTCAAATAGAAGTAACACTATTGAACGGATTTAGATAGAGCATGACCCGGTCTAACTACTAGGAACTAATTAGATCCAATTAAGTGAAACGGTGACAGTACTTAATTGTTTAAACGGCGACTAATCCAATGGACACTCGGTTGCAAACAGTAGCTGCAAATAAATTAATTTATTTATTTACACTTTACCTATTGCATACCAAAAAATAAATGTATCCGTGCTATCTGTGGAGATGGCCCAACCGATTCGTGGAGACCATTCATTAAGGGAATAAATATTCTGACCTTAATTAGCCTTTATATCTATGAAATATATTTTAAATAGTATTTATTAAAAAAACATGGTCAATTATATGAAAAAGTAAGCGATACAGAACGGTACCAATCACGTGACTCAACAAAATTAGCTCTGCTAAAGATGTTAACTACTCCATACAGGAAAAATTGTAGCTGCATGAAAACATATTTTAAGTCACTTCCTAAGTATTTAAGAGAGCTTCCATTTTCCAGATTTAAATACAAACTTAAGATATGATTACTCGATTTATTTTATTTTATTTATTTATTTAACACTTTATGTACATATAAAAAAAATACATACAAAGGCGGACTTAATGCCCGAAGGCATTCTCTACCAGTCAACCTCACGGGTGATGCAAAGAAGTGTTAACAATAGGCTCTAAACAAGCACACAAATGATTAAAAAGCATAGGCATATAAGGCGACATATACATATAATACAAAAATATAATATATGAATACAATAAATATAACCTACAAATACACATATAACATATAAATAATACATAAATAATATAATTAAATATGGGAAGAATAGATTACGAGTATATACAAGAACAAAAATAACAATACACTAATTAGTGGAATCTGTCAGTTTCTCTAGCAAATAATTGTTAACTTTAAGTTTGAAAGATAGCCGACTGGTTGCCGACATTTATGTTTTTATACGGCTTCAGACTTTTTTAAACATAAACTGTATAATTTAAGAGTAATGTAATTTAAATGTACCTATCTCAATAAATTTTATTACTGTTTTCTTTCATAATGTTAATTCTAATAAATGTTTTAATTGGTTAATCATACTAATTGCAAAATGCAACATTTACATTTTAATCAAATAATGATAAAATAATGTACATGAAGTTGAGCGACAAACAAAGGGAGTTATTTGATCAGCTCTAACGGCTGTTACCAATCAGTTTAGTTGTTACGTGGGCTTAATACGAATCCATTACACATTATTGCTGTGTCTCAAAAATCTTGTATTAGGCCTCACCCCGGGAGGTAATGTAACATTTTCCGTTTATGTACCTACAATTCTATTTATTTCACTATCCACTCCTCACTCGAATTGTTTGGTACTTTGACCACCTTTATAATGTTATTTGTATTTGTGAATCATACATTTTTAATATCTAGATTATTTTTATTGCGAATGGATAACCGAGCTTTGTGAAATTTCTCATTTGTATCCACAAATTGTTGTTGCGCTTTCCAACGTATATTTAAATTGAATGTTCGTAAACGCATCTGAAAACCCTAGTGCGCACGGAATAAAAAATACAGCTAGTGCGGGGCAAACTTTTCTTAATAAAAAAAATATTTTGCCGGTATATATATGTCTAAAAAGTTATTTTAATAGTCTCTCACACCATAATTGACAGACTAAAAATTTATGATAATCACACTAAATAATAAAAAAAACAGTCACGAAACGTGTAAATGAAAATAAAAATCCATTTTCCAGAAAGTTCTCGAATTACCTATCTGTATCGAAATATGGTAATAAGATCGAAAGTTTGAATTTATAAAAACCGATAGCCCTAGGGAGTTTGATTTACTAATTTGGAGTCGCAAAGTCGTGACCATTAAAAGTTTTTCATAAGCTCAGTGTCGAAGTCGATTTTCTTGTTGGGATTACATTACGATAAGTAAAATAAAATATAAACTCATTTATATCGTAGGTCGTGCTAAGAATTGTTTATTAAAAAAATATAGTGTTAATGTTTTTTTTTTGAAGTCTATCGCTATAGAAGCTTTTATGTCTCTGACAGTTTCCGTGGCCTAGATGTGTGTATAATCACAGAACTGTGATCAGCTCTCCTTGGGTATGCTGGAAATGTTAGGAGAACTCTCCTAGAGTTCTTAGGATACCTACCTATTTCCCTATAAGTATCTATTTATATATATGAATGAATCACAAAATGTGTTGGTAAGCGTATAAATCAAGAACGCCTTAACGAAGTATGCTAATTTTATTTTTGCTGTTTGTTATTGGCAGAAGAAAGTGTTTAGAATTTTTTTTTTTTGAAAAGTAGACGGATGTGTTGTGTAATGGGGACTTTTTCGTAGTTAGCGAGATAGTTGAAGTCCCGTGCGAAGCAGGGGCGAGAATCTTAGTGTACTTATAAAACTTTGCTATGTAAAAGAATCTTCGATCAAAATCAAAACTCAACTTTCAATATGAAAGTTAAATAAAGACGCGAGCATTTTATTTATGTTTATTTGAATTCAGAATTGAACTTCTGTGTCGACGAATCAAGCAGATATTGCTTTTATACATACATACGCACACACAGAAAGCTATGCCAACTTTTTTGCATGCCGATATGACATTTGGCAAGTTTATTGGTATGGTCAGAACCAAAACTGTGAAACAGATCAAACTGTACCGAAAAGTCGTTAGGTTTTATTGCAAAAGACTTGGGCTATAAATCAAACCGCACATGTCTCTATAAAGTCTTGAGTGCAAATTTTGGACGGTCGAATTCTGTTTTTTATTTCTTCAAACTGTTGAGGGTTGCAATAAAATACAGGCTGTCGGGGCCGGGGTGAATGTAAAGATTGACGTGCGTCGCGTGGTGCATTCTAATGACAAGATATTAGTATTAGTATTAAAAGTAATAATTTAATCCTTAGTGTTATGCCATAATAATAGTCTTACAGGTCATTCCAGAGGTTACAATAAAAATTACAAAATATTTTAGGTTGCAACTTCTAAGTAACCTTTTAAGAAGATAGGAACTTTATTGCTGCTTGGTTAACTTTATAAAAAACTCATTTTTTTGTATAATAAGAAGCCATGACTCATCATATCTGAAAGCCAGCACAAAATTAATGAATCAATCATTTTGCATTTAGCTATAAGTACTCTAACCACAAAAGCATTGAAATCTATACTTATATTATAAAGCTGTGCAACTTGTTTGTTTGAAGAATCTTCGGAACTACTGCTGCACTGGTTCGAATTCAACAATTGATTTTATGTTGTCTGTGTAGTACATTTGTCAAAGAAGGAGTAGAAAGAACTCATATTTGTATAATATGAATTCCTCATTCATGAACCAGGGTGACGGCGGCACGGTGACATCAGCTGGGATGCAGGTGAACCCGCGAACTGGCTCCAGACTGAAGGCGGAGGTGCGCTGCGATGGAGCCCCAGTCACGACCGCCTCACCGCGCTTCGCTCGCCACAACCACAACCATTTAGGTAAGTCCATATGTTTATCATTACAAAATGAACAAATAATTATTGTATCGGTTATGCCCATTACTCACGCATACTGCACATACCGATACTATTATTTCCATTTCGTGAAAAAAAAAAAGAATACATAAGCCTTTGAGGATCCACAAAAAATGAGACTCCTCTAATTAATAACACTCTGAGACGCAGTGGAGCTAATAAATTGAACAGATTTGATAAAACCATTTCACCAAGTATTCTAGTTTTAGGGATGTTGATTTTTGATTAGTCTACATCAAAGCAAAGCATTTATATCTTCAATTGACCTTTAAAAGGACCCTTTGAAACGTCAAACCTCGTTTTAAAATTTAGATTCACATTGAAATAAGGCAACAAACAACACTGTTCAATAAATAAAATCTAGCTTTCTAGCTTCATTCACGTGTTTTTACACAAATGTATCACATTACCCCAAGTCATAAACACGTGGAAGACAAACTTAGAAGGATTCTGATCCAACATTCTTTCTTAACGAATAAAATGGCAAAGTCTGTGATACATATCTTTATTGAAGTGACTATAAGGCCTGATTTTGTAAGAAAAATGCTCCCCAAAACGCCCAAGTCATATCCACATGATCTTGGGATGATACATATGAGCCCTTCAAGTGTTCACTTGATTTTAATGGAGTCCTGAGTACTTTGTGTTTATTTTTAGAACCATTTTTATATTTTAGGTGTTTGGTATGAACTACACAGACATGTGTCTTATTATCGTGACCTTTTCACATAATGAGGGTCTCAAAAAGACATTTATTATTTCTGTACATTTTTTGAGTTAAAATGGACAAGCAAATGTATGTTAAAAACAACGTTAAAATACTAAAATACGCTCTAAAATTTACAAGACAGAAACAGTATACGCTGAAATTATTTTGTATATACAAACTGTGCAAAGTTTACCAACTATTAAACAAAATAGCTTACGTATTACATTTAAATGTATATCTACTATACATCATTTGGATAGAGATATTTAAGAGTATCCGTGATCGTAAACTCCAATCTTAAAATTATGATAACTGGCTGCGGACAGCGAGTTAGGGTAGCTCATCCCAACAGTATTCTACCAGAACCAGACATAAACGTACGGCACATTGCGTTCCGCGCACGCCTCAAAGAGCAATAGACTTCAACAGACGGGATCCTGAGAGAGCTGATGGTAAGCCGGGGTTACGGGGTAAGCGCAATAAGGCATCGCGGCGTTCAGCCCAGAGCAGGAGAAGGAACGGGGCTTTTTAGTCAGTACTAACTAATCTCGCGTGGTTTTACCCGCTATTCGGCTCGATTTGATCCTAGTGTGAAGTTTTATAGCTTATAGCACTCAGGAACATTGCAGCCATCTATCAGTGAAAGAATTTTGGCAATCCGACCCGTGGTTCCTTAGATTACTCTCTACATACAAACTTACAAATTTACAAATTTTACCTCTTTATTATATAAAAATAAAGTACCTATAGATGAGTCTGACACTCCCTTTCGCCCCACCCTGGGCGGGAGAAGTAATTTGATGATCTCCCCTCACAAAGAATTTTAGTCCTAATATTAGTACAAACAGCTGTTTCTTACCAGAATTAGTTAATCTAAGTAGCTGAGGAATATTCATTTCCGCAGCTGCTATATGCCACCTATGATGTGCTCCGACGACCTGTTGATATTGTTTCCTTCTCGTAAATTTAATATTCACACAAGTTGAGCATTTCCTTCCATTTTCGTTGTAAATCGGCTACTAGAATCTTGAGTTGGAATATTCTAGAATGAAAGAGAATATTTTTTTATTTTTATATACAGTGTAAGAACGCTGCCTGTTGTTACAAAAATGAATTTTCTTGTTAGCATGTAGTGATTTTTTCCTTCATGTAAGAAGGAAAGTCTTGCTTAATAGGTACCACTTATTAGTTTTAGACAAGTTTTCTTACATATATAAATTCTTTTCTAATGAAACCTCAAATTTACGGATACAGTTTTAGGTGAGAGGCCATCCACGGCTTTACAGTTGATGGGCGTGAAACAAAACTAGCGTTGTATCCGTAAATCCTTAAAACTAATAGGTAATAATACTTTGCCTGACTCCGGAATCGAACCTGTCACGACGCAATATTAATTAATTTCTAACATATTGCAAATAAAAAACTAAAATTGTCAGTTTCCTTTTCCCATGCTTATTTCTCTTTAATTAGGTACCACTGGATATGTGACAAACTCATAAAATGGGTCGGCATCACATCCATTAAGTTGATTTCGAGGATTTCGCGGGTCAGATGAAAACAAATGACATATCAGTGACGACATACACAAAATGATAAGGACAAAAGTATATCATGTTCTCTCTCTTAATCCAAAATTATTGCCGCCTTTAGAACTATTCAAAATAAAAACAAATGACACGTCAGTGACGTCACGCCCAAAATGACAAGGATGTCAACATATCTTGTTCTCTCTCTTAATCCAAATTATTGCCGCCTTTAGAACTATTCAAAATAAAAACAAATGACACGTCAGTGACGTCACGCCCAAAATGACAAGGATGTCAACATATCTTGTTCTCTCTCTTAATCCAAATTATTGCCGCCTTTAGAACTATTCAAAATAAAAACAAATGACACGTCAGTGACGTCACGCCCAAAATGACAAGGATGTAAACATATCTTGATCTCCCTCTTAATCCAAATTATTGCCGCCTTTAGAACATCGATCACTAATAAAGAACTAGATACACAATCAGTGACAAAAAAATGTCCTAACTGAAAGTCCACCAAACTCAACATCGCGGTGTAGTTTTAGTTTAGTACCACTCGAATGCTCCGACGGTAAACACGCCTCAGTGCTCGTTAAAAAACTGCAAAAACACACACATCTAAGATGCAAAAAAGGATGGAATTTCATATTTTCGTTAAGTAATAATATTATCATTATATAATTGTCATCATTATATTTTAAATATTGATATTTTATTAAGAAATCAACTTTAAAACTTTTTCCAAATGAAATCGTATTCAAAAACCGGGGTTATAATGCACACAGTTTATAAAGACACTTATACTAAACTTAAAATCATTCTCTAGCATGACCACATAAGTTGTTCGGTTTACGTGGATTGATTCTGTTCCGTTTAGTGGAGACGCTATTGTTTCTAATTTTATTTATTGTTTTTTTTATTAAAAAATAGTTTTTATTTAATATTATACTTCTTTACAGTGTTTATTAAAATATGGAATAGGCAGATGTAATAAATTTAATTTTAATTATTTTTAATATTTTTTTTTTTAGCTTTCACCAAGACCCGTTCGATATGAAAAATTGACAACAATAACGCCAACATTTTCAGTACTTACTTTAGATATATATTCTTTTTATTAATTTACATCTTTTTTATTTGACTTCGAATAGAAAGGATTAAGGAGGACGAAAATAATAAAAAAAGAATTATAACTATATGCATTAGTTTCATTGGTAAATAAATGAACAAACTTATAGAAAAGAATACTATAAGTAATGCGTTTTAATTTGCGTATTTTCTTTTTTTGATAAATTATAAAATACGAAAGAAATATATTTCTTACGAGACATTTCGACTCCAATCATTCTTTGTCCTAGCGGTGAGCCAAAGTCGTTAAATTTTATTGCTTATTTTTGACACTTTGTAAATTCGACTTAAAAACATGCGAATATGGTTCAATTTCTTATGATTTGTGTTTGTCAAGAGCTTCGGTCGCAAAAAGTATTAAGATTTTGTACATCACTTTGTAAAAACAACTCTATGAGTTGCATTTAAGGTTTAATTTACATTAATGCATGTTTATTTCAAGTATAAGTACCTAAATACAGTTGGCGACAGTTTTGAAGCGAACTTTTGTTTGGGATTGTGTATCTAGTTCTTTATTAGTGATCGATGCCTTAGAACTATTCAAAATAAAAACAAATGACACGTCAGTGACGTCACGTCTAAAAAGACAAGGATGTCAACATATCTTGTTCTCTCTTTAAATCCAAATTATTGCCGCCTTTATAACTATTTAAAATAATAACAAATGACACGTCAATGACGTCATGCTCAAAATGACGAGGACAGATATATTTTTGTGTCTCTTTCTCAATCCAAATCTTGGCCGCCTTTAGAATATTGCATAAAATAAATAAATGACACGTCAGTGACGTCACGCCCAAAATGACAAGGATGGAAATAATGTTGAAAGAGATGTTTATAGGATTCTTTTTTTAAATCCAAATAGGTCCATACTTATAACCTGCCTTCTAATAGATACAAATTATGTGATGACTCAGCTTTTTTACACAAAATACAAACTCCTTTTAGAAGAAGTTAAGGAATAACATTTTAATATACTTTGCATTCGACAATTTGCGCATAACTCTGGAAAATATTATCGTATTATGTATTATTTTTTTGTCGTATTCATTAATTATTATTATACGAAAATATAATTTATTAATATTTCCGAAACCATTACAAAATAGCACCTGGGCGAAGTTAGGTCGAGCTGCTTGTCCTTAACAAAAGTCATTAAGAGATTTTTGATAAAGTATAATAAGCTCTAAGAGAAAGTCCTTAGAGCTTGTTACACTTTACAGACATTGTTAATAGTAATAAGTACATAATGTCGTTGTCTTTATTCGCAAGGGACTCATTAAGATCTTTCACAAACTCGGCTAATCCCTGCCTAGTTCGAAGTCCTTTGTTTTCCTTTCATCGCGTACTATAAAAACATTTCACGCCTATACAAGCTATACATAATGTAAATAATGTACAAGGACCTCTTCATTTACAAAGTTCCGAGTGTACTTGGCAAAACAAATATATATAGGTACGTATATACCTAAAATAAATTCGGGTCTCATATTTACTCTGTAATATGACGCACGCATATGTATGTTCATCAATATTGAACATACTTTCGCATGTTTATTTATTTTGTAAACATTTATTTATAAATGGAAAAGGAATTTGTTACCAGCCTAAATGTTTCCAAAGAAGCATGTTTTGATTTTGTTAGGTTAAATAAATAATAATGTGTGTAGATCGATTTAAAATATTGCGATTATTCTAAATAAGTCTGTGTCGCTGTCACAAAAAATACACAATATAATGTTCGCAATTAGGTACAACACGTACTTTCAGGCAATTCGATCCGACATGTAATTGTTTTGTGATAGGTCTCTCTCTTCCTCTCAATCTTTCGCAATCTTCTTTTTCTTTGTCAAAAGTACGCAGTTTTTATTGTTAGAAAAGTCTATGAAACATTTTTTTAAACACAAGGTTCGACAAACTATGAACACATTTCTTACTATCTTATCAAAAGATTAGCTAGAGTAAAAAGTTGATATTATCAAAAAAAGTAACACTGTCTTCTGTGTGCCTACTGAGAGTTTGCTTTACATTAACGCGATCGACACGACACTATTATGGCGTTCTACCCTTTGATTGGCCAGTTCCAACTTAACAAACCAATCAGAAAGCTTAATGCTATGATGCTATGCTATGCGAAATACTCATATACTTAGCAATCTAGTATTCGTGGCAACTTCTTAGGAAGCCGAAATAGATTTTATATTTTTTAATACATAACTTCTTTTTCATTATTTTTGTACCTACTACTTAATAAAATCCATTAAGTCCGGTTACAACTTTTAGTACACACCTAGATCTAAGAGTCAGTACAATGTTTCATTTAAAAACTTATTTCAATATTTAGTCAAATAAAACAATAACTAAAGTTACCTTTTCGTTTGATTTACTAGGTGGGACACAGGCGAACACGGCGACTGTACCAGGGGGAGGTGGAGGCGGCGGGGGTGCAGCAAACACGCCAGTAGAGACGGGCTGCGCAAACGCATGTCCGCGGTGCGCGTGTTGCGGTTGCACGTTGCGGGAAGCTGCGGCCCGCCACGAACAGCGAGTCGCCGCCAACGAACGATTGGAACGTGCTAATTTGGAGTGGAAACAGGTATTTCAAAAAATATATACCTAATAATACTTTAAACTTATACTTTTTAAAAGCCTTAGGTAAGAAATTCAGCATGAGCGTGGTTTAGATACAAGTTAACAAGCCCAAAATCTTGTAAATTACTTGGTGCTTAGGTACAAGTTAATGCCACGCAGGACAATAAAAAAATAAAAATAAAAGACAAATAAAAGCTATTTTGAATTTCCATTCAAACTTAAAATTGCCTTCAATTGCTCGCAAGCAATATGTCGAAATGAGTTTATAAGTTTTTAGACATTAATTTAATGCGAAGTTCCACAAAGAATGTATGGCAACATTGTATGCCGCTCTAAAAAAATTAAATTAGCCTTTAGATTATTAACTTACAAACTATACATTTTTTAAAATTCAGAGTCCGTTTTAAAGCATAATTTATGTTGGAAATAAATTAGACCATTTCGACAGTTCTTTTAAAGTAAAATTTCCATATTATCACCTGAAATATAATATTCCTCTTCATTCAAAAGCTTGACCGTTTCGCACCTCATTATGTCCACCTTAATTGACTTCTAGGAAATTTAATTATAAACGAAATGACTGCATGCCATTATTATCGAAAAATAATTATCGTATGTACGTATCGTATCGTCATAATAATATTTTAATGGCGTTACCAAGTTACATCTACTTTTTTTTTAATTTATTAATTGTTTAACAAATTTAATTTTTTTCATCACCTAGATGGTCCAGTTTAAAAAGTAAATTACTATTTACTGTAACACAGCAATTCGATCAAATTCTACAAGACATATAATTTATAACATTATAAATGTAGTCATGCTACTAGTAAATGGGCCAGCTCAACTGGGGTTTAACAAAACAGCACCTACTTGCTTGCCGTGTGTGTTTGCAATCCTTCACCTATCCTATTCTACCGCTCCCTAATCCTTAAAACCTCAAAACTCCATATCCCCTGTTGCCCGGAGTAGGGCCTTGAGGATTTCAAACGCACTTTCAAATCATTCCTAAAACGCCAGCAATGCACTTGTAACTACTTTGGTGGTTAATGTGGCAACCAATTGATTACCATCAAGGGACCCGATTGCGCGTTTGCTGCCGTTTCGTATATAAAAAGAGCAATATTACAAACTCAGTATTTTAAAACATTTAGAAAGCCCTCATAATAATAGTACCTAATAAATCTCTAACTTTCTGCTTTTCGAACTCCGATCAGAAAGTCGGCTATAATAAAAAAAAAAAAGATTAACGATCCCCGATAATTAGTCCGATAGCGATTTCGGTAATTTAAAATATGGTTTCGGTTTTCGGCTAAGGGGAAAACTTTTCATCGGCAATTTTTTTTTTATTTCAGCGTAGCGTAGCCATTAAGGGGGTAACTAGAAGGCAAAAAAAGGAGGCATTCGGTAGTACTCGTAATAGGTGCTATAGTTATAGTTAGTAATTTTTTATCACTCTTTTACTTTTTTAGAAGTTTCTGAAATGGAGAAGCGGCACACTTTTTCGGTTTAGATAAGATTGTATTAGAAACTATAATATAGAATTCAGAAATTGTACTATTATGAAATATTTGAATGTGTTACAGCTTGCTTACGTAACTATGGTTGGAAATTTATACTAGTTTCAAGTTTTCAAGTCACCCTAGGATGAGCGACTCCGTTCGTCTCGTCATCATGCCAGATATGATAATTCAATAAGAAAAAATATTTCATTTTGAATAGTTGTTGATCTCCAACCCTGAGTTATATTATATTTTTCATGTTTACTTGTAAACATAAACTATGAAACAGCAAAGATGAGAAAAAAACATGTTTTATTTATAAATGAAATCCTTTGAAAAGTTGACTACATTTTGAATTCAATATTTTTCGTAAATAACAAAATTATACTTGCAAAACTCTTATCACGTCAATTTCACGTTCGGGTATTTTGTTAGAAGTTTTTAATAATAATATTTTTTTTTAATTTAAATTTTGTCTTTATCGAAAAGTTGTACCTAAGGGGTGAAAAATGTTACTATTCATATTATTTTTGAGAGCCACGGTCGCGTGGTATCACTTCGCTCGATCCGGCCCATTCGTGCCGAAGCATGGCTCTCCTACACTTAAAGTAACGAATATTTAGTGTGCGCGGGTCTGCGGATGGCGAGTAAGGGTAGCTCGCCGCCCGACCAAAACCAGACCCGAGCGTACGGCGCGTAGCGTTCCGCGCGCGCCTAAAAGAGCTAATAGACCACCACAGACGGGGCCCTATGGGCCTGATATTAAGGAACGGGGGGGTTTTTAGTCAGTAAGAGTCTGTAACTCTCTCTCGCCTTACCCTGGGCGGGAGAAGAC